GTCCGCTGCTGGGGACAGGGTGGGAGGAATGGGTGGGGGACTGTGTTTGGCTGGGGAGGGTCCTTTTCCTCCCTGTGCTGAATGTTTGGTGCCTTTTTGTGGTTTTTATGAGCTTATTCTGGCGGCTGAATCTCTTACAGTGCAAGAAGGAGTTAGGTTAAGAAACAATGCGATCTGTGCACACCTTGAATTTGAGCTGCTTGGGGTTGCATGTGAAGGGAAGACCTGAAATTGCAGCTAAAGGGCTGTTCAAGGGGTGCATGGAGCATCTGGCGTTTCCTCCAGGGCATTGCCCCACGAGCACTGGACAGGAGAGGCAGCCCTGGCACCGGTGGCCATCACAGGCATCCTTGTGTCAGCACAGAGTCCATGACCTAGCGGGGTTGTGGACCAGCACCAAGGCAGGCAAGAGGGAAGAACAACTCCCAAAGGGCTGTTTTAGGCACTTTCCACACTGCACCTCAGCCTCTCTTCAAAGAAAAAAGCTGCAAATAAAAGATAAAAAGGGGTTGATCATGTTACCGAGGCCTCTGGTGCATTCCCAGTTTGCACAGTGCTGGGAAGACTGTACTTGTCTTTCTATCCATCTCTCTGGCTCTCTGCCTCATCTCCCCCATTCCTCCCTCTTTCCTGAGCGCCTCCTGCTTGCAAATCTCCACGCCAGCATCATGCCGACTTTCCCCACTGCCCAAATACCACCAAACTCCATAACACTGACTGGAGCTATAAAATCGGGGGCCCTATGTCTCTCTTCTGCAAATTTATGAGTTAGCAAGCATTTACCACACACCAGAAAGGATGTGGCAGGAGATGCACGACCTGGTTTATCTTGCAGGTGCATTTTGGCGGTCTGCTGAGAGCTCCCTGTTGCTCTTGCTCTGCACCCATGCAATTTTAATCCTCCTCAACATTTTGCTCAGAAATCATCCCCTGCGGTGAAAGAAACAAACAAGAAAATAACCCCTTGGAGGAAAAACCCTACAGTGCTTCCCCAGCAGACAGTACTGGGCGCTGCTTTGCTCCCAGCAGCAGATGCACTGTAGCCACCACCACCTCCCCACCGTCCCCGGCACAGCTTTGCCGGGGCATCCCTGCCTGCTCTTTCCAGCTCTGCACCTGGAGCAGGATGTGCTGGTGGCCGCTTACACCTCCAGACACCAGCTCCTGCGGTGTGTTTTGTTTCCATCACTCTCTTGGACCTTTCCTGTTTCCTTCCGCACAGATGCAGCCGGAGGAAATCTCAGTGTGTTGGCTTTCCTCTGGCTGCGGTCGCAGGCTGGGGACAGCACTGTGGCTCTCTGTGTCCTGGGACCTGTCCTTCCTGGGCAGAGGCACTGGTGGCAGTGGTGACAGCGGTGGTGGTGCTGGTGGGTCTCCTCACGTGTGCAAGCAAGCTTCGTGGACCTGCTCGCTGTGGTCACACATGGCATCGGTAGTAGGTGTGTGCAGAACTGCTACATGGTAATAACTGGGACTGTTCAGAAACTTGCATTCAGTTCTCAGGGTGATGGAAAGCTCGTTGTGGAGGTGGGATTGGGAGCAGGGGGAGTAGGACTTGAGTAGCCGTAAGGGAGGAGGGCTGGTCGGTGTCTTGCTGCGTGGGCTGAAACCAGGGGAGAGGTCAAGCAAATGTAACACAGATGGTTGTTTTGTTAGATTTTTCTGAAGGTGAACTTTGAACGTGAGATGTGCTCACTCAGGAGATAACTATATTTATATACTGGTAAGATACATATTGTTTGGGTGAGTAAGAGCCTTTGTTCCAAGTCCCGCTGCTAAAGCCCACATGGAGCGACAGTTTGGCTCTGCAAGCTTCCTTTTCCTTTGCTTGGGGAGCTGCTGTGTTTAGGAAAACCTGACTTCACAAGCTGCATCCCGCTAGCCCGAGTACCGGCAGTATAGCCATCAGGTCTGGCATCTGCTCACTGCTCCAGCCAAGCCCTTTCATTAACTGCAGTGAAGAAGACCTGGCCTTTACTTTGCATGAATGTGCCGGGAGGAAGAGTAGCCTCATCCGTGCTGTTGCAGGCTCTGTCCCTGGACGGCTGGGATGAGGCCAGTGTATGTGTAACGGAGCTGCTGTGCTGCAGAGGATCTTTAGGAGAGCCCTGTGATCCCCTCCACTTCAGGGTGTAGGCAGGGAGGTGATGGCTCGGTGGATTCCATCCCCAAGACTAGCATCCTCCATTGCTCTCCTGTCACACCAGAGCGCCTTCGCCCTGCATCCTTGTCGGGCTCTTGGCTGCAAAACATCTTATGGAAGAACCAGAAATTTCCACAGTCTCAGTGAAAAACATCGTTGTGGCTTGCACAGTATGTGTGTCTTTGGGGGCTTTGCAAGGAAGAAGCCCATGATGGTGCATTAATTAAGACTTGTGGAAATTCAAAAGCAAGTGTTGCCAGAGAAGGTTTGAGATGAGCTTGCAGGTGTTGGGGTGGTGGTGATGGGCACATTGTGGGGGTGGTGCTCACTCCTCCCTGTCCTTGGGCATGGCAGGAGGATGGTGGCAGAAGGATACCCAGCTATTCCATGCTGGATTTCCTTCCCTGGGCTTCACCTTGATAGGTTTGAGCCTGAAATACCAGCCCTGCGCCGCTGAGCATCCTCATCGAGGACTTCCTACTGTGTCCTCAGGTGCTTCATCCAAATCCCCCCTAGCACTCAAGTCAAAAGGCTGTTTATTCACTTGGCAGGTTATTAATACTAGCTGAAATACTGTTTTCCACATTGTTCTGCCATGCTTAATATGGTGATCAGCATCACAGCCTGTAAAGCTGGGGATGATTTGTGATTGAATATCCATTAGGGATTTATGGGCTTCAGGACTGAATTGCCGGGATGTGCAATTGCCAAAATACTTGAAACGCTTCCACTGCAGAGGAGACCTTGTGGGAAAGTCGCTGTTCTGGTACGCAGGCGGTTCCCAGTGAACCTCCGTTACTGGCAGCGAGCACACCCAAGCCAATAAAAAAATTATATGGGATCCAGAGTGCCAATGGAGCATGAACCGTGTGTCAGATGACGATGGGGAGCAAGCTCCCGCTCCCGGCGTGCGATGCTGGTGCTGGTGCTACAGTGGCTCACAGTCCCATGGGGTTGCTCAGCGGGTGGCTTTCCTCCAGGACACGGTTAAACATGGGCACAGTTTGTATTAATATGACCCTGAGGCCAGTTCCAGTTAAAACGGGGTGTGAGGTGGTTTGGAGGGGAAAAAGTTATTTGTTGCTGCTTTTCCTTGTGCATTGCAAGCACCTCTCGTGCTAGCGCATCGAGCCCAAAGGGGCAGAAGGCATGATGTTGTTAAACATGGTTGAAGCTGAAAAAGCCAAGAGCTGAAGGTGTTAAAAGCAGAAGATCCTCAGGTCCTTTGCTTCAGAGAAATTGGGTTTGCAAAGGGATGATTTGAGGCAATACCTGCTTTCCAACAGCTCTTCGAGCAGGCATGTGTGGCTGCCCATCCCTCCCTCCCACCTCCCATCCCTTTAGAGGGTTTTAACCTGTTTTTTCCTTAAAGTAAATAAAGAAGGAAGGAAGAAGCTTTCTGAGGAGGGTGCTAGCAGGTTTTTCTTGGGAAGCATTCATTCACTGGGTTGCTGGCTCTTTTCGTGGCCATACTGGCCTGCATCTCAGTGGCTGGACCTGTAGGAGCCACATAGCCGAAACCAGCCCAAAATTACCCTCCAGGAATACCACTTCTTGCCCAGCCATGGTGAGCTCATCTCAGGGGTGAGCAGACCCTGCAAGCAAAGAGGTGGGTGGGGATGCCTCTGGAAAAGCATATCAAGCCCAGGGGGAGAGCAGGTTTCTCATTCCATCTTGCAGGAACATTGCAAGCTTTGAGCAAAGGTCCCAGCTGCCATGGTCCAGCAGGGGAGGGTGAGCTGCCTGGGGAGGAGGGGGGGAAGCATTACCTGGGGCCTGAACTGCTCTGAATCAGACCCAAAATGCTGCTGTGAGGTCGCTCTCTCCTCGCTCCCATCCCTCAGCCAAGCTTCAGTCTCCATCGGGTGGTAAAATCTGATTTTGTCACTGAGGGATGGAAAATCCCCCCTGGGATGTCCCTTCGCAGAGCATCCTTGCAGGTGGGGTAGCATTACCTGATGTTTTTACAGGGGGGGGAAAGAGGAGAAATAAGACATGATTGGCAAGGGAGTTTGGGGCAACTCAGGGGGACAGGAACACACAGGGGTCTGCAGAGGAGCTGGGGAGGGCTCAGTGCTGGAATCCCCTTGAGTTTTGGCCCTTTTCCAGCTCCTAGCCCCCTCTAAGCTCCTTTCCAAAATCTCAGCTGTAAAACCACGGGCGTGGAGATTCAGTGTGCACCAGGGCTCGCACATGCTGACAATAATAAATAATTAGTGCCCTGCCAGCATGAAAGTCCATGATTTTAGCAGCCAAGCTGGGCACATTTAAGGGAGAGGCCCCATGACCCTTGCCACCTCACCTGGCTTTTTATCTCCTTTGCTATTTGAATTTTTGCCATTTGATTTTTTCATTCTTGGGGACTGCTGGTGAAGCAGGAGCCGGCGAGTGTTGCTCAAGCATGGAGGAGCCCAGCAGCAGCATCAGGTGGTGTGATGAGCTGGTCAGTGCTCAGTGCACCTCCCTACTCGCACCTTGTCTTGTTGCATCAGAGTAAAACGACCCGGAGGGAGAAGTTTCTGGGCTCTGGGGCATCAGGAGGAGAGGCGAGGGGTTGCATGCTGGCCCAGCTCGGGTTACTTATGTGCTTATGGTCTATTTTGAGGCTCTGGCCGTGTGGCGCTAAGCAGCTGCTGACCCAGGGAAGGGACCAGCTTCAAAACAAGAGTCCGGCGGGTAACGACCCTGGGAAGTGCTGGATTTCCCTCATCTCCAAGCAGGATTGGCAGCACCTTTGCCTTCCCCCTGGGCCATCCTTTCTTGGGTTTTGGAACTTCTACAGTGAGAATCGATTTTTTTTT